GGACGGGACTTTTCACACCCCTTCCAGTCCGGACTTTTCACCCCCTTCCAGTCCGGACGCTTTCACCCCCCTTCCAGTCCGGACACCTTTCACCCCCCTTCCAGTCCGGACACTTTCACCCCCCCTTCCCCACCCCCTTTCCAGTCCGGACACTTTTCCCCCCCTTCCAGTCCAACACTTTCACCCCCCCACCTGTTTGGACCACTTTCACCCCCCTTCCAGTCCGGACACTTTCCCCCCCTTCCATCCGGACACTTTCCAACCCCTTCCAGTCCGGACACTTTCACCCCCCTTCCAGTCCCTCGGACACTTTCACCCCCCTTCCAGTCCGGACACTTTCCCCCCCAACATTCCAGACACTTTCCCTTTCCCCCCCTTCCAGTCCGGAGGACGCTTTCCCCCCCTTCCAGTCCGGACGCTTTCCCCCCCTTCCAGTCCGGACGCTTTCACCCCCTTCCAGTCCGGACACTTTCACCCCCTTCCAGTCCCGGACGCTTTCACCCCCTTCCAGTCCGGACGCTTTCACCCCCTCCCAGTCCGGACGCTTTCACCCCCCTCCCAGTCCGGACTGCTTTCACCCCCCTCCCAGTCCGGACCCGCTTTCATTACACCCCCTCCCAGTCCGGACGCTTTCACCTTTCACCCCCTCCCAGTCCGGACGCTTTCACCCCCTCCCAGTCCGGACACTTTCACCCCCTCCCAGTTCGGACACTTTCACCCCCCTTCCTGTTTGTACACTTTCACCCCCTTTCCAGTCCGGACACTTTCCCCCCCTTCCAGTCCGGACACTTTCACCTCCCTTCCTGTTTGGACACACTTTCACCCCCCTTCCAGTCCGGACACTTTCCCCCCCTTCCAGTCCGGACACTTTCACCCCCCTTCCAGTCCGGACACTTTCACCCCCCTTCCTGTTTGGACACTTTCACCCCCCTTCCAGTCCGGACACTTTCACCCCCCTTCCAGTCCGGACACTTTCCCCCCTTCCAGTCCGACGCTTTCACCCCCTTCCAGTCCTTTCCCCCCCTTCCAGCTTCCGGACACTTTCCCCCCTTTCCAGTCCGGACACTTTCACCCCCCTTCCAGTCCGGACACTTTCACACCCCCCTTCCTGTTTGGATACTTTTCACCCCCCTTCCAGTCCGGACACTTTCACCCCCCCTTCCAGTCCGGACACTTCCCCCCCTTCCAGTCCGGACGCTTTCACCCCCTTCCAGTCCGGACACTTTTCCCCCCTCCACCAGTCCGGACACTTTCCCCCCTTCAGCTTTCAGTGCTATCACACTTTGAATGACAATTGCGCGGGTCATGCAACACTGTAACCATATAAAATTTTTTTGCATTTTTTGGAGACAGATAAAACTTTATTTTGGTGATAGCATAAAATAAAAAATGCAGCGCTAATAGTCAAATGAAAAGTACCAGTAAAAAAATAATAAATGATCAATAATTGCAAGCAAAATAAAGTCCTGTGATGGTGCTCCCTGCGTTCCCAGTGCATATGGTATAAATGCGCACTAACCAGAGGCGTATTAGAAATATGCAGTGTGTAAATATCTTGAAGATCCCCCCTCTCTCTGGTCAGAATATGGACTGGAACTGGAGATAGTAAAGATGAAGCGCCCTCGTGTGGTGAAGATGGATCCGGGGTGTCAGAGATCCCCTTTAAGGGATATGTGGGTAAGGAATCCTGGGTTACAGGTCGTTCCCCTCTCTGGAGCTGATAGGTGGATCACAGCAGGGCTCTGAAAGTTGAAAGCTGAGGACCTGATCCTAAGGACTGAGACTTCTGGCACAGATGACCACCAAGCGGTTGGGACTGAACCTGTTGCATGCCAGGAGTGGTGAGCAGAACTACAAAGCTTAATCTCTTACTGCCCCCTAGGGATGGCTAATGGACTGCTAAGTAAAGAGCATTCTCTATTGAATTAAGCTTTGTAGTATACAGTATACACCCACATGGAAGAAAAATGTATTTGAAATATATTTTTAAAATTTTCTTCCCAAATACATTAACAATACATTTCAGTACAGAAGGAATAGGAGGGCCCTGCTCGTGGAGCATATATATATATATATATACATTTTTTTAAATATATTGAATATGGCAAAAATTGCAGCATTTCAAATATATGTCAATATACAGTTGCAAGAAAAAGTATGTGAACCCCTTGGGATTACGTGGAGTTTTGCATGAATTGGGCATAAAATGTGCTCTGAACGTCACTAAGTCACAACAATAGAAGAACACAGTCTGCTGAACATAATACTACACAAACATTAGATGTTGCCATGGTTTAATTGCACATAACAGTAAACATTCACAGTGCAGGGAGGAAAAAGTATGTGAGGCCCTAGCTTAATGACTTCTCCCAGAGCTAATTGGAGCCAGGAGTGAGCCAACCTTGACTCCAATCAGTGTGATGATATTGGACGTGTTGCTGACAGCTGTCCTGCCCTTAAAAAACACACACCTGTTTTGGGTTTACTGGTTTTTAAGAAGCACTGTCTGATGTGAACCATGCCTCACAGAAAAGAGCTCTCAGAAGACCTACCATCAAGAATTGTTGACTTGCATGAAGCTGGAAAGGGTTACAAAAGTATCTCCAAAAGCCTTGATGTTCATGTGTCCACGGTAAGACAGACTGTCTACAAATGGAGAAAGTTTAGCACTGTTGCTACTCTCCCTAGGCATGGTCGTCCTGTAAAAATGACTGCAAGAGCACAGCGCAGAATGCTGCATGAGGTAGAGAAGAATCCCAGAGTGTCAGCTAAAGACCTACAGAAATCTCTGGCACATGCTAACATTTTTGTTGACACATCTACAATAAGGAAAACATTAAACAAGAATGGAGTACATGGGAGGACACCACGGAGGAAGCCATTGCTGTCCAAAAAGAATATTGCAGCACGTTTGAAGTTTGCATAAGAGCACCTGGATGTTCCACAGCACTACTGGCAAAATATACTGTGGACAGATGAAACCAAGATTGAGTTGTTTGGGAAGAACACACAACACTATGTGTGGAGAAAAAAAGGCACAGCACACCAACATCAAAACCTCATCCCCACTGTGAAACATGGCGGAGGGAGCATCATGGTTTGGGGCTGCTTTGCTGCCTCAGGGCCTGGACGGATTGTTGTCATTGATGGGAAAATGAATTCTAGAGTTTATCAAGACATTTTGCAGGAAAACGTACGACCATCTGTCCGCCAACTGAAGCTCCGCAGAGGATGGGTGATGCAACAGGACAATGACCCAAAGCATACAAGTCATTCAACAAAACAATGGCTGCAACAGCACAGAATACGCCTTCTGGAGTGGCCCAGTCAGAGTCCTGACCTCAACCCAATTGAAATGCTGTGGCATGACCTTAAGAGAGCGATTCACACCAGACATCCCAAGAATATTGCTACACTGAAACAGTTTTGTGAAGAGGAGTGGTCCAAAATGACTCCAGATCATTGTGCAGGTCTGATCTGCAACTACAGGAAACGTTTGGTTGAGGTTATTGCTGCCAAAGGAGGGTCAACCAGTTATTAAGTCCAAAGGTTCACATACTTTTTTCTCCCTGCACTGTGAATGTTTACATGTTATGTGCAATTAAACCATGGCAACATCTAATGTTTGTGTAGTATTATGTTCAGCAGACTGTGTTCTTCTATTGTTGTGACTTATATGACGTTCAGAGCACATTTTATGCCCAATTCATGCAAAACTCCACGTAATCCCAAGGGGTTCACATACTTTTTATATATATTTATTGGAATATATTTTGAAATATATTGAATACGGCCAAAATTGTAGCATTTAAAATATATGTCAATATATTTGGGAAGACTATTTTTTTAAATATATTTCAAACATATTTTTTCTTCCATCTGGGTAGGGAAAATAGTGATGAAGTCCAGTCAGTTTTTCATTTATTTTCCATGGTCCACATTCTGTCTCAAGCACCACTTTATGCGTTGACATACCTCCTTTAGACCTCAGTCCCTCCGGTCAGTATAGTCACCTGCTGAATAGACACCCTCCACAGACAGCTTAACTCTCCAGTAAGACATGGCAGTTTAACCCAACATAGAAAGATGGTAACTTACTTTGGAAAAATGAAGAAGATAGAGGGGTCTGTCCAAGGGCTAAACCACCCACATGGAAGAAAAATATATTTTAAATATATTTTAAAAATACATTCTTAATATATCGTTCCCAAATATATTGACATATATTTCAAATACTACAATTTTGGCCATATTCAATATATTTCAAAAATATATTTCAATATATCTGTGAATATACTATTTGAAATATATTTCAGCATGTTTTCTGAATATATTTTTAAATGTAAATTTGGAACTCATTTGCAAGTATATTTAATCTATGTTTAAATACATTTTTTTAGATGTTGAAAAATATCTGGAAAATATCTTTTAAAAAATATATTTAAATAGATGCCTTTGGAAAATATATTTTATTCTAATTTAATTTTAATATATTTTAATTTACATTTTTGGAATACATGTTAAAATATATTTGCGTAGGCCAATGTATTGTAAATATATGTCGCATGTAAAATTTTTTTTAAAATAAATATATTGGAAATAGATTTCTCTTCCATATGGGCAACTAGCCCCAACATGCAGGTAAACTGGAATATACCATTTGCAGACGTGAAAAATAACAAAATGTAGTTACATTGGATTGCCACGAGATGTTTATATATAAAAAAAGAAATCCAATGGAACAGTGATGGATACACAACAAGTTTCCGAGACAGTCCATGTAATTGGGGGCCTGGCAGGTGTGTGGCCTTTGCCTATATAATGTTGGGAGGTATATAATAATAATAAAATTAATAACAATAATAATAATTATTTATATTATAAAAAAAAATTAATAATGCTCATTATGCACAGAACTACCCTATAAGGCCATATATCTGACCTTCTGATCTCTTTGTGTATGAAACACCGATGCCGTGCAGACTGTACGGGGTGCTTGCTAAGTTTTTAAAATGGATAATAGCAGAATCAAATGTTTCTAATCGAATGACAGGACCCAGTAGACCTAAAAGTGCAAAAGGAAAAAAAAAAAAAAAAAAAGAAAAGACAAATTAGCAAAAATATGATTCCTATAAAAAATATATTGAATGCAAAAGACGCAGTTTAAATATGCAATGAAATAGAAATATATTACAGCACTTAATGGTGAAATCCACTTTAATGAGAAAAATAAAGAGGAAAAAATTAAGAAAAAAAAATAAAAAAAATACTAGAACATATACAATTGCTACACAAGCCATGCTGTAATTTATAATGATTACAAATGACTTTTCCTTTTCAATCTGCGGCTGCTGTCTTTTTCTGTGAAATTCAAGGCAATATGGCAGCCTGGGGGAGTTCTATACACTGTTGATGTGCAGAACTCCTCCTAAAATGTCATTTCCGGCTTGTGGGATCAGCCCACTGAATTTTCCAGAGGTCAGCTTAAATCAGATTTTAGGAATTCCCTGCAATAGGAATTTCAGTTTAGGTGAGATACTTCCCATGGGGGGTATATAGACCCTTAAAGAGAGTCTAAAGGTTGTAATAAAAAAAAAAAAAACCCCAAAACAAACATGTTATGGGTCACCCAGCAGTGGGAGCCATTGGCTCCTGCTGCTGTCAGTCACAGCCAATGAGGAAAGGGCAGGGGGTGGGGCCGAGCCGCGGTCTGTGCGTGAATGGACAGGAAAGGCTGCTCGAGCAATGGTTTTGACCAGAGCAACCCCGATCCTCTTCTTTTTGACAACTCATGGGGCCTCCGGGCAATAGGGGATCATGGGGCCCCTGTGTCCTTGCCCAAACTCAAAAAAACCTATGAAAAAGGTACCAGGGGCATCTTATGGGGCCCCCTACTGACCCCGGGCCCTCGGGCAGTCCCCGAGTTTCCAAATGGTCAGTCCGCTCCTGTGTCAAAGCACCAAAGGCTGAGGACAGTCAAGGGTGTCAGTGTTCCTACCTGTCCAGGGTGCCCTTGGTTTCGGATCCGTAAAAGAGGCGTCGCTGTATTCCGCGAAGATGGCTTTTTTGTACATCGGAGCGCCAGACGACCTCACGTTTTCCCTGTAACATGTAAAAGAACAATTCGCTTACAAAAAAAATGCATCTACACAGTGCAATTGCATACAGATTGGCAATGAACTTGACCGAACATACAAAGGCACAAAAATACAATCCAATCTAATCTCTCCGGAGATATGACCCGGAGCTTAAATACCCAGAAGTCACTTATTAATTTTAAGATTTAATATCCCGAAAGTGGGCAGTGCATAAAATATGTACAAAGTATAAAAAGTTACAAAAAATACAAGAAGACACATTGACCATTGACTATTCACTATAAAATAAAAAGGGAATAAGAAACAGAGAGAAAACTTTTACCAAGATTTACCCTGTGACTGGAGCAAGTCAGGGAGAGTCAGCAATCCGTTAGTCAATCTAACCAGCTCCATACGAATCACAATGTCCAGATATCTGGGTCCTCAATTTATGGGGATATGGACGCGGGCTGGACATTAGTCCTTAGCCAATCGACTCTGGGGGGTGTTCCTGTACCCACCCACAGGCTGTTCTGGGTACTGAACTGCCCAAAGTCAATTGGACCAAGACCGGTTTGAATCACCAAGTCGGGGATTGAATTTCCGACACCAGCGCATCAGTCCGATCGCGACAGTACCAATCACTGTTCGACTGTCGCAATCCAGCGCCACCTAACCATTTCCTGCATTTTCCTGGCATTCTACATAGGCCACAAACATAGATTTATATGCCAATGCAGCCCACATAGTGCCCAATCAGAAGGAAGTATTTTCATCTCTCTGCAACTAATATTTTAGCTTTTATGAGAGATGAAACATACTCCTTTGATCCCCTTATATACTTCAAAGCTCTGGTCTCCCGCTATCATGAAGCCAACCGGTCTCCAGCCGTTTCCTTCCTGGTTTCCCCAGAAGGGGAAAAAACCTTATTAGCACCCAGGTGTCACTTCCAGCCTGAGGAAGCTGCTCTGTCTTTTCAGATGTTAATTGGTGACCATCTGTGTCTGAATACCTATGACTGAATATTTCTTTAATGACACGGAATGAACTATATTTACATGATCATATATTCTACAGGTCACATCTTATCTACTCAAATCTGTACATTTATGTCACACACGCACACAAATGTGTTTTAAATACGCTCCTCCTCTTGGCCGCAGCGTTTCGGCAGAAAAAACGCCTGACGCTTGGAAAAGCATCTAACACTTTGACAAGCATTTAGGTTGCGCTTACAGGCGTCAAGCGCTCGGGAGGTAATTCGTTTTATTGGCCACAATCATAATTGAAATGAAGTAACACTCAAGCGATAAACGAGCTTGGCCTGAACGCACATCAAGAGTTTTTTTTTTCTGCCAGTACGCTCTGTTCCTGGAGTTTTTTCGCAGCTCCTAAAAGCCCCTGCCACTAAAAGTCTATGTGTGTATGGACACATGGGATAATATGTAAGGGAGTCTGGAAGCTGTAAAAAATAATAAAAAACAACGGACACCCCTAAAAGTGGCTGCGAAAATGTCCCATGTGCATGAGGCCTTATGCAGGCCATAGACGGGTCGAAAACCGGATGTTTTTTTATTAAAAAAACGAAAAAATCGGTCATTCGATCGGCCGGCGTTTACCACCAACGTTAAAAAAAACGGACGATTTTCATCCCGTCTACAGCCGGCATTTAATTACTTCTGTCCCTGCAGAGAGCTCCGCTATTATATTTTATATGAAAAGTCTTGCAGTTGCCACAATGTATCTATTTGTATCCATTTCGGATACAGATGTTTTTATTCGGATACAAATGGATAAATTGTTGCAACCGCGATACTTTTCAGATAAAATATAATAGCGGACTGGAATTCATCTTCTTTTTCTTCTTCTTCTTTCTTTTTCGCCTTCTTTTTCTTCTGCTTCTTCTTCTTCTTTTTCTTCTTCTTCTTCTTCTAATTTTTCTGCTTCTTATTCTTCCTCTTTTTCTTCTTTTTTTCTTCTTCTTTTACTTCTTTTTCTTATTCTTCTTCTTTCACTTCTTCTTTTACTTCTTCTTGCAGGTCACGGCTCATGCGCAGATTTTTTATCGGTAAAACGATCCACCGATTTGCCCATCATTTCCGGGAAAATCGGCTGCGAATTTTCCAACTTGACCGATAAAAGAAATGTGCCAAAACCCCGAAAAACGGCCAACCAATTAACCCACTGACAGTGCGAAAATCGGCCGATTTTTTTTTTTTCAGCCGAAAAATCGCCCGATATTTGACCCGTCTATGGCCTGCATTAGACCCAGTGACGTTATCACTGGGTCTCTGTGCTTCTCAATGTAGATCATGGTTGGTGGGAGGTTTTGGCAGGGTGCTGTATATAACCTACTGAAAACATCACAGCGATGTGCCTCAGTACTCCTCTCAAGAGCCCTCATGCCAGCAGTGCGCTGGTGCCTGGAAGGAGTGACTTGGGCCTGCGACTGGACAGCAAAGAAGCAGGCTGCAACATTGTAACAAGGTCACCAGCTGCAGCAGGGGCTGATGTGTGTCAGACATTTATAAACACAGCCAAGAACTTCGCAGACACCAAATGTATATGATCTCTGAGCCAGCTTCCCAGTCCAAGGTAGTAGATGCCAACCTGGAGGATGCCTGAATAAAGATGGTACCGTCTGAAAAGCAGGTAAAGGTATTGTCATGGGAGGGGGGAGGGGGGGGTACTGTGTTCTCTATGACAGGTAATAAATACCTGGAAGTGTTACACTGACATTACTCGTGTCATGCATGAATGTGAGCTGATGATAGGCCCAGCATGATGTAAATGGTTCCTTCCTTCTGGTTATCTTCTAGAGGAGGCCGAGAGCAACCCAACCACAGACAATGCTGGGCCGGCAGAGATACTGGGATGGCCGGCAGAGATACTGGGATGGCCGGCAGAGATACTGGGATGGCCGGCAGACTGCAGAGAAACATGGAACAGCTACTGACAAGAATCATCAGATATAGGAGACTTTTATTTTTAACTCGACTGTTCTGAGAATTATGACGTCCCATCTGTTCAGAATCGGAATATCTGAACAATCAGGAGGAGTACAGCACACGGGAATATCTGGACAATAGGAGGAGTACAGCACACGGGAATATTGATAGTCATAGATTTATACAAATATATATATATATATATATAGAGAGATGTGTACAGTATATATATATATACAGTGAAGGAAATGCATATTTGCTCCCCTGCTGTAACACTGAGAGACAGAATAGCAACAACAAATTCAGCAGAAATGCGTCTAACAAATGATGACTGATCTGCATGTTCATGAGGGAAATAAGGATTCGATCCCCTTCACAAAACATGACTTAGTACTTGGTGGCAAATCCCTTGTTGGCCATCACAGAGGTCAGACGTTTCCTGGAGTTGGCCCCCAGGTTTGCACACATCTCAGGAGGGATTTTGGCCCACTCCTCTTGGCAGATCCTCTCCAAGTCATTAAGGTTTGGTGGCTGACGTTTGGCAACTCGAACTTTCAGCTCCCTCCACAGATTTTCACGGATTAAGGTCTGGAGACTGGCTAGGCCACTCCAGGACCTTAATGTGCTTCTTCTTGAGCCACTCCTTTGTTGCCTTGGCCGTGTGTTTTGGGTCATTGTCATGCTGGAACCCCCATTCATGACCCATTTTCAATGCCCTGGCTGAGGGAAGAAGGTTCTCACCCAACATTTGATGATACATTGCCCCGTCCATCGTCCCTTTGATGGGGTGCAGTTGTCTTGTTCCCTTAGCAGATAAACCCCCCCCAAAGAAGAATGTTTCCACCACGTTTCACAGTTGGGATGGTGTTCTTGGGGTCATAGGCAGCATTCCTCCTCCTCCAAACATGGTGAGTTGAGTTGATGCCAAAGAGCTCGATTTTGGTCCCATCTGACCACAACACTTCCAACCAGTCCTCCTCTGCATCATTCAGATGTTCAGTGGCAAACTTCAGACGGGCCTGGACATGTGCTTTCTTGAGCAGAGGGACCTTGCGGGCACTGCAGGATTTCAGTCCTTGTCGGCGTAGTGTGTGTTACCAATTGTTTTCTTGGTGACTGTGGTCCCAGCTGCCTGGAGATCATTGACAAGATCCTCACGTGTAGTTCTGGGATGATTCCTCACTGTTCTCATGATCATTGACACTCCACGAGGTGAGATCTTGCATGGTGCACCAGACCTAGGGAGACTGACACTTGTTTTGTGTTTCTTCCATTTGTGAATGATTGCACCAACTGTTGTCACCTTCTCACCAAGCTGCTTGGCCATAGTTTGGTAGCCCAGTCCAGCCCTGTGTAGGTCTACAATCTTGTCCCTGACATCCTTGGACAGCTCTTTGGTCTTTGCCATGGTGGAGAGTATGGAATCTGATGGTTTGATTGCTCCTGTGGACAGGTGTCTTTTATACAGGTAACACAATGAGATTAGCAGCACTCCCTTTAAGAGACTGCTTCTAATCTCAGCTTGTTACCTGTATGAAAGACACCTGGTAGCCAGAAATCCTGCTGAATGATAGGGGATCAAATCCTTATTTCCCTCATGAACATGCAGATCAGTCATCATTTGTTAGACGCATTTCTGCTGAATTTGTTGTTGTATTCTGTCTCTCAGTGTTACAATACACCCAACATTCCATTGTTAGACCTATCATTTCTTTGTGAGGGGCGAACATTCAACACTCTTTAATGATGTCTCATGCCATTGGAGTTAATGGCGTGCAGGTTGTGCTCTATTAGCTCCTTCCCTGTCCACAAAGGTGTCACCAGAAACCGCTGTCACCTCCATAAGACTTACAGCGGTGGTAGTAAAAGGATTTAAAGAAAAAAATGGGCTTTTGTCTCGGGGAGTGGTATTCGTAGGTAGGTCTTCATCAGGGACGGACTGACAACTCATGGGGCACCGGCCAATAGGGGATTATGGGGCCTCTGTGTCCTTGCCCAAACTCAAAAAAGCCTATGAAAAAGGTACCAGGGGCATCTCATGGGGCCCCCTACTGACCCCGGGCCCTCGGGAAGTGCC